ATTCCAATAAGAGCCCACCTCCCAGTTCTACCAAGGTCTATCACTCCCTTCAAGGTCTAGCTTAGGTGACATGACCCTCCAAGAAGCCTTCCCCATCTGGCTTCTAGCTCCAGAAAGACGTGGTCTCTTCCTACACAATGACTTCAACAATGTAAGTGGAAAAAAACCCAAAACACTTGAAACTAGACACTGTATATATAATTATATGACCACACTTGGCTCAGGAGGAAAAAAATGATAAACTTTTCTTTTTTAATTTAATTTTTTTTAATGACAAACTTACACCTCCTTCCCTCTCTTTGCAGAAGCAGTGGGCTACAGGTTCAAAACACTGTACATAGACTAGTGTGGTGTGTTTATTAATTTTAGTGGACTGTGTTTTCCACCTTACTGCAACAGAGTACTGAAACTCTAAAAAACTGAGAAATTTCCAAGCTGCAGGATCAGAGAGTAACTCCCTCTACAAGCAGATAGATAGATAGATAGATAGATAGATAGATAGATAGATAGATAGATAGATAGATATAGATATCCCCATTCATTAGTCTTTGTATGGTGCTCCAAATGCAAGAAGGGGCTTAACAAATGTTTCTTGGTTTGTATTGAATTTATTTGATGGTTTTGGGGGGAGTGATTACAAAAATTTCTATTATTTCTGAATAGGAAATAAAATGTAATATCCTGATTCAAAAAGAAAAAAAAAGAAAGGAATCTCTCCCACCTCACATTTCTCATAGCCCTTCTCATGAATCTCTCTCCTTTACATTGATCTCATTCTTCTTTGTAATACAGGCATTTCTGTACATAAAACAAGTATTTTTGTACATGATGCATTCCCTGTAATAACGTAAGCCCCCTGAAGCAAGAGACTTTGTCATTTTATTTCTGTAGATGAACAATTAGACACACAGTAGGTGCCTAAAAAAATGCCTGAAGAACTGAATCAAGCCTCTGTCCCTAGCATATCATCCTGACCCTCAGCAGAGGAAGGAAGCTGCTTTTCACACTTCACCCCCAACTCTTTACCTTGAGGCCTTGAGTGACATGAGCTAGGCTTGGGGAAGCCACATCATCTACAACCCCTCTCCCTGCCACTCCCCACCCCAGGCCAGTTGGCATCTCTGGACTAAACATTGAAGGCCAAGCCCTGGTCAATTCCATCCCTATTTCTACCTCAATCAAAGGTAGAATGAAGAATCCTCCCTGGGCTTTAGGGCTCAGTGAGGGGGTTCAGCTTCCCAAGGGCCCCCAATGGAACTACCACAGTGGGGGTAAACCTAAGGGCCTCTGGACTGTGTCTAATGCTCTAAGGTCACTAGTGAAGTCAAAATGCTTCAGTTGGAATAATTCCAAGGGGATCCCAGGCTTGTGAGCTCAGGAAAGTACAGGTAATGCAATGATCCATTAGGAAGTGTTACTGTTAGAAATGCTGCCTAAAGTGGACAGCCCCTTAAGAAAGATTAGGACCATAGCTTTTGTGCCCACGTATCTGAGAAATGGAAACAGATCTTTGGTCAAAGTGAGGAAACCAGCAGCCTAGCTCTTAGACTCTGCCCCATCTGTGCCCACATAGGAGGGCCCCAGAACTCCTAAGGATGTAGGGGCAGAAATCCACAGGGCAGGCAAATTCTGACCACCAGCCTTCCTCACCACCCCCAAAAAAGAGACTAGTAAAGAAGACTGAGGCTCACCAAATATTCTCACTGGCAAAGGGGATTAGAGCTATTCTGCCGGAAGTAAAGGCAGTTACAAAGAGAAGTTACAAAGGGGCAATATGAAGCTTGATATAAGGAAAAACACTGTAACAATGACTGCTATGGCAAAGTGGAATGGGCTACCTTGGAAGGTGATGAGCTAGCTCCTCGTCAAAAGGGGCATTCAACCAAAACTAGATGACCATTTGCTGTTGATGCGTAGGGGGGATTCCTGCTCAGATGCCAAGTCAGACAGGATGGCCTGACTCTCCTTCTGGCTCGGACATTCTGGTAGATCTTCTAGGCTAATCCAATACCTCCATCATTTTACAGAGGAGGGGGAATAAGGTCTAAGGAAGAGAACTGACTTGTGCAAACCCCGCCTCTCCCCCTGCAGAAAGGCTGGGACAGAGAAGACCCTGGTTTCCTAGTTTGGACTTGGAATTAACCTCCTCAATTCCTCACCTGAAAAACAGCAGTAATTGCACTCTACTATACTGCCAACCCTCACTAATGAAGTGCCGGATGTTGATCCTGGCCCTTTCCCTATTCTGCAACAGTCAAGTTATGGGTCAGTCGACATACATTTATTAAATGCTTAGTGTGTGCCAGGCACTGGTGCTAAGTGATGGCAATTCAAAGCAAGACAAAAACAATCCTGCTTTCAAGGAGCTTACCATCTAATGCTAATAATACAAATCACTATGCACAAACAGCCACAGGTTGGATTGAGGGTGATCTAAAGGGGAGGCCTTCAAATTTTAGGGGAGTGGAAAAGGGTTCTTATGGAGGCTTAGCACTGCTCCAGTGTGGCCTCTTCTCACCCCAGACATAAGAATCTCCAGACCTCTTGGCCCTAGGATAACTCTGCCTCTTGCAAGCTCTCCCTGCTCTCTAAGGCCTCAGAGCCTGGAGGGGGCAGGGTAGAGCCAGCCCCCTCAGACCAGAGTGTCACTGAGGCCAGAGACCATTTACACCAGGGCCAGATGGTAGGTTCTTCCAGGGCTCCAAGGGTTAAGAGGCCTGGGTGAGAAATGAAGGCGAGTCAGCCCCCTGTGGTGACGGGCGGCTGTGTCCTGAGGTCAGCGGCTGCACGGGCCAGGAGCCCAGCCCCCTTCCCCCTCCCCCTCTCTCAGAACAGAAGCCACTTGTTCCTTGGGCCTGGACTGCTTGGAGCTCTGGGTCCCCCCAGGGTCGGGGGGGGGGAGGGGGCCTTGAACTGAGCCCAGAAACTCCCCCTCCCCTCTGGCTGGCTCTCTGAGGGCCTTCTTTTCCTTAGGGCCCTAAGCCTCCTCAGGGGAACAGAGAGGAGCCAACCACAAGTCCCAGCCACTCAGGCCCACCATGGTCTAGTGTCCTAGAGAATGAAGGGCCAACTGAAGGGGGGGGGGGGTAGTGTCAGGGCTGGAGAGCTGAGGACAAAGGGGTGCAAGGCAGAGAATGGAGAAAGGTTCAGATCCAAATCCCGGCCAACAGGATAGGTCACCACCTCCTCCGAGTGTCTCTATGCTCCCCTCTCGCATCAACTCTCTCCAAAAATCAGGCACTGTGGGGGAGATGGAGGAAGGATAAGTCAGTCCAGATCCTACCCTCAAGGAGATCATAGTCTATGAGGGAGACAGAATTCACATGCCAGGAACAGTCAGAACAGGACAAGAAAAAAAACCTGGACCCAACAGAGGGAAGAATCAAAGTGGACATGGGAGGTTAGGGATGCCTTCCTGGAGGTGGGGGGGGGTATTTGACCTGAGTCAGGATGAGGAATGAGAAGCATGCCTACAGAGCAGGAAAAACAGCTTAGGCAAAGGCACAGAGGGGAAAAGAGACTTGACCCTTGCCAAGGAGGGTAGCCAGAATGGACAGAGACCACAAAGGAAGAGAGGGCTGGAAAGGAAGGATAGGGAGGACCTTTGGAAGCCTGGAATACCGGGCCAAGAAGTCTGGTTTAGATTCTTTCCTGGGCTTCAGGGACCCTTAGCAAGCTTACAGTGATTCCCAGTTGCCCCACATAAGAAGCCAGCTGATAATGGCACCTTAGTGGGCCCTGAGTCCTGAGTTTGGGGCCCCATCCAGGTTAAACCATAATTGTTCCCATTTCTATAGCACCTTAAGGTTGACATCTGACATCTAAAAACTTTCCTCACAACCGCTCTATGAGGTAGACAGTTACAACAGTTATAGCATTATAGCCCCCATTTTACAGATGATGAAACTGAGACCCAGAGACAGATAAGAAATTTGGCCCACATCATATGGTCAGTACCAGTCAGAGACAGGACTTTAACCCAGGTCTCCTGATTCAGGTCTGAGATATCTCTACACAATCACACAGATTCCCAAAGTCTGCTTTCTGGACCACCTGCTTTTTTGCATTTTCTAACCACTCCAAGGCCCTGTCTGGGTCAGGGCCCTTCAATGCCTGGGCTTCAGATCTCCCTCAACCCCATTCTGAACTAAAGCTGTCCTAGCTGCCCCAGCCACTTGCCTGCATAGAAGACTCACTCTTCAGAGAAAAGAGGAAGATTCTGCTAACCCAGAGAAGCCAGCGACAGTACCAAGAAGCACCCCAATCCTGGTGCCTCGTTGGGACCCACAGTGCTCCTGGATACCTCTCCAGGAAGCTTCCTGGCCTAAGCTCCCTCAAATCTGAGCTGCTCATTGCAGAAACAGAGCTCAGAGCCTGATGGCGGGCTCACTCAGGCGGCACTCAGTCTGCTCCTAAGGAGCTCCCAGCATCCACTCATGGCTCCCGATCCCTCCAACCCGGCCCCCAAGGACTTCGGTGTGTCTTCCCCTCGCTAAGGTGAGTGAGGGGCGGCAGATCCCTCTTCCTGGGGCACAGAGGGGGCCACAGACCATCAGAGCTGGAAGGACACTTGGAGATCAGAGTCCAATGTATCTCATTTTATAGATGAAGAAAGTAATACCCAAAGGGGAGAACTGACAGACCCTAAGCTCGTACCTCGAGTTAGGATCCAAGCGTGGGGTAGAATGCAAGTGGCCTGACTCCCCATTCAGGACTCCCTGAGCCCCTCTCCCCGTAGCCCTGGGACACTACCTCCAGGAAGCCTTTCTGGCTTGGGCTGCCTAGAGCCTACCTCTCTGCCCCACCGCCTTTAGCTCCCAAGCCAACCCCCCAACCCGCCTCCTCAGAGTCTGGGGGCAGGATAAAACAACCAGTGGGAGGGGGAGGAGTGGGTCAAAGGTGACCTCCCAGGACCCTAGCACACCTTGAGACGGAGATGGGACCTTCAGTTTACCAATAGGGGAAATGGGGGGAGCCAGGGGTCGGGGAGAAGTACTGACCTGGCTCCCGCGCAGCGCGGACCGAGGCATCCGAACTCTCCCGGTGCCTCCGCGGACTCTCGGCAGCCCCGGCCCCCAGAGCTTCCGCCCGCCCCACGTGACGCCCCCGGGGAGGGGCCGGGCCGGAGCCGGGGCTGAGCAGGGGGTGGGGGGAGGCCGAGCCCGCCTCCTCTGGGGCAGGCTGTAGCCTGCGGAGCCGGTCTGGGCTGAGTCTTTCTGTTTCACAGTCTTGTCTCTTCCTCTCCTGGCTAGCTGGCTGGCTGGCTTTCATCACGGTGAGATGGAGACGCTGCCCTGGACATAGGGGTAGTTCGAATGTGGCCTCGGGTACTCAGTCCCCGTGTGACCTTGGAAGAGTCTCTACCCTTCTCTAAGTCAAAGCAAGAGTTTCCCTTCCTTGCTCTAAATCTGTTTCCGTCTTCCTCTCGGATGTCCCCTAAACCCTGAGGTTGGGGTAGACAGCAGAGTTCTTCCTGGGTCTTGATTACCTGGCCCTTTCCCCATCCCCTTACTCTGCAATCTAGCGACGCTGTCTCCATCTTCCGACTCCGTGAAATTTCCCCTGGCTGTCCCCCATGCCTGGAATGCTCTGCCTCTTGACTTTCCTGGTTTCCAAGTCCCAGTTAAAGTCCCACCTTCTTGCAAGATGCCTTTCCCAGTCTTTTAATACTAGTGCTAAATTACCTGTCTATATTATACTGCGTATATCTTGTTAGTAGAGTTGTCTGGCCCTTTAGACTGTGAGTACCTGGAGGACAGGGGCTCTTTTTTACGTTTCTTCATATCCTTAGCACTTAGCACAGTGCCTGGCACATAGAAAAGTGAAAACCCCCAAGCAGATGTCTAATAAATGCGTGTATTGACTGGGTCAAGGACTTGCGGGAATGAGCTGGGTAGTGGGCATTCCTAGATCTGAGATTCCTAAGCATGGAACCGGGGAGACAGGGGGACATTAAAGTAGGATCTCTGACCCAGGGAACAGCAGTGGGGAGCGGGGCACTGTTCCCACTCAGTTTGCCACTGACTAGCTAGCTGCATAACCCTGGGCAAGTCACTTTCCCCTGTGTCTCTCTCACCAAGGAATTAGGTTTTCCTTCTCCCCTACAATTGGAGGCTTCCTGAGCACAATGGCTCTGTTTCTCACCATGAACTGGGACTCCTCAGGCTTTGGGGTGACTTTTCCTGAATGGGGCCGGTGTTAGGAGGATGATCCCCTAGAGGGCGCCCAACTAGCTAGAATTGAGGGGCGGGGTGGAGTTAGTCCTCGAACTGTTTAACAAGACCCTGGTGGGAAGGGGATCACAGGATTGAAAGGTCATGGAGTCACAGATCTAAAATCTGAAGGGACCTCAGAAGCCAACCCGTCCAATCCCTTAATTTTATAGATGAAGAAACTAAGGTCCCAGGTGAGAAAGTCACACCGAAACCAGGATTTGAACCCCCAATCCTGTGCTCTTTCCACTACGTGTTATGTTGGCTCCCATTTCTAAGGCATTTAAAGGCATACAACGCTGTGAGATAGGAATAAAATATTATCTTACAGACAGGGAAATTGAGTCGCAACAAAGGGAAATGACTTGTTCAAGGTCATTCAGCTAGTGTCTCAGCCAGACATACCAGTATTCTTTCCATTCTGCTGTACTGTCCCTCTTCCTCCAAATTCTCCTTCTACCACCAATTCCTGGCAGTTTTCCTTGACCAGACCATCCCACACTATCTATCCTTCCCCGGGCCCTCAGCACAGCCAGGCTCGTAAAACTTCCCTAAAGAATGGAGATTGCTGTATAAACTCCTGGGGTGATGTGGGAGACGGGCAAACGACGGTTTGAGGTGAACAGAGGCCCGTACCTGTCTGCTTGTCCCTTGGTAGAGGAGTAGGTGATTTGCCAGCAAAATACAAATACTGCCCCCGACTTGGGAGTCGCAAGAGACTTGACCTCTGCCCCTAGCTCCAACTGTAGCTGTGTAATCTAGGACAAGTAGCTTAATCTCTCTGAGGCTGTTTCCTCATTTGTAAAAGGAGGATACCATCTGTGGTGGCTGCTACTTAAGGCTGTTGCCAGACATGAGATGCTGGGCTAAGTAAGGCAAGCACTCTGCCAGCCCCATAGAAAGAGTAGAGGTCTATTATTATTAAAGCCCCTGCTCTGCCACTATAGAAATGTTAATTTATTAGTAAACAATACAAATTTTCCATTGACATCCCTCTCTACTGCCTCACCTAGCATTTCTACAGTTGCCTAGACACCAGTCAGGGAGAGCCCCCGGGGTTCTCACAGGCTATCCAGGAAACCAACAGCTCCAGCCACAAGCTGTATTGGAGGCCAAAAGGGTTTCAAGCGTAAGAGTGACAGGGGTGGGGGGGATGTTTAGATCTCACTTCTAATACTTTCAACCTGTGCACCCCCTGGATAGGTGACAACCCTGAGACTCAGTTTCCTTATGTGAAATGAGAGGTTTGGATTCAATAACTCCTGAAGTCCCTTCCAGCCTAGATCTAGGAGCCTATGATTGGGTCGAATCAACCCAAGGACATCCCAAAAGGGATGAGTTTGGGAGCTCCCTTCACCCACAAAGACCATTTACTAAAGTTGGGGGCGGGGGCACGGAGTGTGTGCTGAATGATGTCCACGACGAGAAAGTACCCACACTGAAACCAGAAATCCTTAAAGGTGAAATATAATTATCATAATTATAAATTTTTTCCATAATGGTAGAGCTCCCCAAACCCACTCTGGCCTCAGCAGGTTTCTTGACTGGCTGGCCGAGAGGGAGCTTAAAATGCAAAAATGAGTCAAGAAGCTCAGTCTGGTGCCCTCTCAGGTGGACAAGTACTAAATTGATGGCCAGGTGCATGATGGGATGTAAGACTCCATTCACCTGTGGGGCCATGAGGCAGCCATCAGCACAAGGCAGGCTGAGCCTGATGTAGAAGAGATAGGCCCCTTTGGAAGGTAAGTTCTGCATCTGGTTATACATACTCAGAGGGTATGGAATACCCTGAGCAAAGGAAGCTCAGGAATCACAAAGGTCTGGGAGGCTTTGGGTGAGCCCAGAGAGCAGAAAGACTTGGGAAATAGTGAAAACGCTAAGGCCTTAAGGAATTAGCCCAACCCCAAAGTGGATGGGCCAATGGGTCCTGAAGCTCAGCACATCAGTCTTCGGTAAGGCTTTCCTGCTCTGCGCACTGAAGCTTATCTCCCCCAACCACACTGAGAGCTCCCCAGGACTCTCAATTCAGGAGGGCCTGGGTTCAAATGAACAAGGCAAGGCTCTTCCCATTATACAGCAACTTATTAATGACCATAGCATATGGCTGGGGTGGGGAAACAAGGGAAGGAGAATCTGTACTTAGACTAGGAGAATAAATGAATGGACAAATGATTAGATGAATGAATGAATCAATGAACAAATGAATGAGTCTAGGATTAAAAGGGGTAGAAGGATAAAAGAAAGACTGGACAATTAGACAAACGAATGAAATAGATTAAAGAAACAACAATTGGGTGACAGAACAAATGAGTGAATGATTTAACAGGAAAAAGCTGAAAAGGCAGGGTACCCAGCAAAAGAATGGAGAAATCAGGGCCCTGACCCGAGGCTGTGGCTGTAGTACCAGTTTAATGGGGGTTATTTCTATACAAAATCTGCCTCCCCCATTTCCCACCCCTGCCCTGGGAGAAGGGGACCAGCCTGGGTAGGGGGAGGGAGGTATCCCCCAAGGTTTGTCATCACCCCCCAAGGCAGAGGGCCCACTCAGCAGCTGCCCTATCCCCTTCCTTGGGGGAAGGAGGACATAATGTAGCTTGGCCCAGGTCCCAGCCCTCTCCTCCCCTCCCCTGCAGCAGCAGGGTGGGGAGTGACTGGCCTGGGCTTCCCCAGGGTTCTAGGGGTCCCTCAATTAAGAGAGGAGTCGTCATCACTGCCTTCACCCCCGGCCCCCCGCTCGTCCCGGCTCTCAGCCACAGTGCTTTCATCAATATTCTCCAGGGAGTCAGCGTGCTGGACAGACAGCTCTGACAGCGCCACGCTGGGCAAGGGGCTCTGCTCCGGGTGCAGCCATGGCTTGAAGTGAGGCCGGTGCTTCTGTTTCCATTCTGGATACTTCATGCATGCTTTGTACATCTTCTTCATTGCCTGTGCCACCAGGACCAGAGCAGGCAGGGAAGAGAAGAGAGGGCAGCAACATCAGAGGGCCTCCTACACACCCATACTGACTTCCCATACCTGGCTCCCTCTGCCTCCACCCACATCCATGACCTGGTCTCCACCACCACTTCCAGGCCCACTCAACCCCTTTCCAACCCTCCTCCCCACTTGACAAGGCTACTCACCTTGGGAGCCAAGAACTGAGACGACTTATTCACTACCCATTTGGGTAAGGATCCTGTGAAGAGAAAAGAGTAACTGAAAACAACGAACTGCGCTCTGGGAGGGAGGGTACCTCAGAGGGCATCTATCCTACATCTGCCCAAGCAGGAATCTCCTCTCCAACATTCCTGACAAGTGGCTCATCCAGCCTCTGCCTGAGGTCCTCCAAGTGATGAGAAACTCACCACCACATAAGACAAGGCATTATCCTTTTGTGTGGCTCTGATCGTTGGAAAGCTTTTCCTAAAACTCACTTTTTTCTATTTGGGGCTGGAGGACCAACAGTCAGGGGGAAAGAAAAGCTTCCTGCTCAGGACAGGCAGAGATGAGATGCTCCCTAAAGTCTTAACACCATCAAAAGAGGAAATGTCTAGAAATGAGCATGTGGACGAAATGGAAGCCAAGAGACCAACACGTATTCAGACCTTCTAAGAGCCTCTGAAAATGAGATACTATTTGTTTTTAAGCTGGCCATGTGATGGGGAACAGACTCTCTGAAAATCAGCAGTTTGGACTCGGTGGTCTAGGAACTCTATCGTTTTGTCATGAGTCTCTCCTCCTTCCTACAGATGTCCTGGAGAAATGGCTCCTGAAATGACCCACAGGGTCCTCTTCACTGGCACCTCAAAATTCAGCATATCCAAAGCCACCCTGGTTCTTCACATTGTGCTTCACATTGTGCTTCTGACATCATGACCTTCATGGGGGCCACCACCACTCACCTGACTACCATGTTCATAACTTACTACTGAATAAAGTTCAGATCCCTGTGCGTGGCACTCACTCTCCCCAATCTGATGCTTTTCTCCCTAATCACCCAACTTCTCTAATGCTCCCCCAGTGTAGACACATGGTACCCCAACCAAATAGACAGCTCACTGTCTCTTGTGCCCCTACACTAATCACCTTCATGCCTTTGCTCACACTGTTTCTTGCTCCTTGGATGATCACCCTCCCTTGATTCCCACTAAACTTCCAGCCACTCCTTAAAGCCCAACTCACAAGCTTCCTCCTCCAGGAAGCCTTCCTGGATGTATCCCTCATCAATAACACCCTCTCCACTCAGAGTTCACAGGGTATTCTGTTTCTCAGTGCCATCAGATTTGAGTTTTCACAACAAGACTGTGAACTTCAACATATAAATTGGTTTGTCCAGTACCAAAGTACACAGCAGATATCTAATAAGTGTTGAATCTGTTGAATCATCTACGAGGTGATAGATAACAAGCAACAAAAAAGTGCCCCTTCCATGACGAAGGACAACCACAGGTGCTGTCCTCTTTGAACCTTTTCTCACACAGTGAGGAGATGACCCTTCTCTTACGCTGTATACTCAGTACTCCAGGATGGCCAATTCTCTGGCTGAGTGTGCGTCCTGGGGAAGGGGGAAGAAAGGAGGCTGCCATGACAAATACCTACTTCCCCCAGCAGAAGGCAGTGTGTGTTTCCTTTCTGTCTCTATTCCCCTCAGGCACTTATTGGTTGACTCACTGACTGGTCTTAACCTCACAATGGATGGGGAGAGAATCTCTATGCCAGGGAAAACATCCGGTCTTTATGGATTCTAAGCTAATCTGATCTCCAACCCTTAGCTTGAGGCCCTGAGGCTCTCTTGGCCTGGGCTCAGAGACTGGCGACCACCTTCCCCTCTCTCCTTAGAGAGGCAGTGGGATGTGGCGGTGGGAAGAGCCTCAGACCTGGACCCAGAGCTAGATTTGGGTCCCGGCTCTGACTCTTACTAGCCTTATTTCCTCATCTACAGACTATCTCTTTCATGTACAAAGGGGATTCTATCTGTGCCTGGCCTCAAAGGGCAGCACACGTGAGCAATACGGGGAAGCTGTGGAGAGGCAGACCAGCTCACAACAAATGTTCTAACCAACAGTTACCACCAAATGAGATGAGCTCCCTCAGGATGAGGGTGCTCCTCCCTGAAGGTCCCCTGCAGGAGGCCTCTCCTGCCCCCTCCCCTTTCTGGTGCCTTCTATAGATAGATGTATACAGATCTCATGGGCACACTGTTACTTCATGTTGTCTTCCCTGTGAGACTGGGAGCTCCTTGAGAGATATGCCTGCATCCAGCCCTTCTTTGTATCCCTGGTGCTTAGCACAGTGCCTGGAATGGTGTTTAATTAAGGCCTGCTGACTGACTGAGGTGGAGGCTGAGACAGCGGCTTGTTGGGGAGCAACAGAAGGGATTCCTGCTCAGATACAGGTTGATCTTGAGCCAGACACTGTCATTCTGGAGTAAGGGCGATCCAGAAATGAAGACCATGCTGGAATTGGGTTGGGGGAAGCCAGGAAGACATCAATGATGGGTCCTCTTAAGTGGGTGAGGGACCCATGCAGAAGGTCTGTTAGCCTGCAAAGTCATGAGAGTCACTGTGGCCACATCAGGGCCCCTTTGCAAGCACCCCCTCATGATCAGTTCTTGACTCTCTAGGTCTGCTGGACTCCATCTTTTTCCTTAGGTCCCTACTGGTGTTCTTCCAAAAAGGTGTCTCTGGCGACTAAAGGGGAAAAGTGCGTGTCCAGGCTGACGCCAGTGACAGCATTAGACACAGAAGGGGGCTGTGCCCCTAAGCCTTTTCTTTTTTTCTAGCGGAGAGGGGTGCCTAGCAAAGATAAAGCCCAGAAAAAGATGAAAACGTCAGGTGTACCTGGGACTCAGGCTCTGGGCCACATTCCCTTTCTCTCTCACATGCAGAAATTGGAACAACAAATGATAGTGCCTAGCTCCCCCCAGGGAAAAGCACTTCCCAAGTGGCTCTCTGCTTGGCCCCCTGGGGCACCCTTATCTTGTCACTGAGGGTTCTTGCTATGTTTGTGGCTGATGACCAAATGGGAAGAGGCAGCACCTGGCTCCACATACAGGGGGCACTTATCTTCAAATGTCTGGAGGCTGAATAAGGGAGAATAACAACAGATCACACTGATAAAGTGATAGAAGGTTTGCAAAGTGTATTAACACATACATATGTATGTGCACATATAAATGTGTAACATATATTAAATGGAAATTATATATTTATTATTCTCTTATTTTATATGTGTATATACATGAATACATATGTATATATGTATACATACCTGTATACATTTATATTATATGTGTGTATATGTAATATCTCTATCTAAAATGGAAAGAGAAACTACAAAGGGTCATCTTTCCAGCTAAAAATCACCAATCTGACCATGTGTGAATGGCCAGAATAGGAACTGTGGAATAAGGGTGGGCCAGGATCACAGACTTGGTGCCCAGAGCTCCAAACTAGGACTCCAACCCAGGGCACAGGATGCCCACTCTGATCACTGACTCAACCCTGTCCCCAGGCACAAGAGGAGCTGGAGAGAGAAGCTGCATGCCCAAAAGGATACCCAACCCTTTTCAACACAATGATATATAGCAATTCCAAAGGACTTATGATGAAAAATGCTATCTGCCTCCAGAGAGAGAACTGGTAGACTCTAAATGTAGAGAATTGAACCATTTTTTTCCTTTTTATTTTTCTTGCTTCCCCCCCCCCACAACATGTCTAATGTGGAAATATGTTTTGCATGATTTCATCTGTATAATGGGTATTGCATTTCTTGCCTTCTCAGTGGGTGGGGGAGGATTCTTTTGAAACTGAAAGTAAACATGAAAAATTAAATTAAAAAACAAAAAGCCAAAATTATGCTCAGAGCTTCAAGCTAGGCCAATAGATCTGATTTGACATAGCCCCTGGCCCAGACCAGTACTCAGTGCAGAGACTGTGGACTCAGTCAGTCCTATGACAATATTTTGGGGGAGGTGGGAAGGGAATGAGTGGAGAGTTCCTACCTAAAGAGGAAGGATCTCAGACTCTGCCCCCAGAGCTTCCAACTAAGTGACCAACACTATATTGCTGTTCAAGACAGATCACTGGAAGAATGAGTAAACCAGAAAGAGAGAGAAAAGAAAAAGCTATTTTGAGGCTCAAGAAACCCAGAGGAGGAAAACAGCACCAGCACACCTACAAGAAAAGCCTCAAAAAATAAAAATAAACCACACACAGCTTGCCTACAAGACCAATTAGAATTTCCAGAAAAAATAATGCAAGAGTTTAAAAAGAGTATAACAAATGAAATAAATGATAGAAGGAAGAATTGGAAAAGAAATGAGAGCTATAGAGGAAAGATTTAGAAAGAGAATTAATAGCCTGCCACAAGAATACAAAACCTTACCCAAGTACCCGAAAATAAGAATGAATCGAACAAATTAGTGACTCTGTGAGAAAAAAAAAGAAATATTAAAACAAAGTCAAAAGGCTAAAAAAATTAGAAGAAAATATAAGAGATATCATATCTAAAACAAGTGACCTAGAAAATAGATCAAGGAGAGAGAATGTAAGGCTCACTGAACTATGTGAAAGCCATAAACAAAATAAACCTAAATACCATATTTCAAGAAATCATGACAGGATACTGTTCAGATCTCTTTGAAGCAGAAGGCAAAATAAAAATAGAAAGAACCCACCAGTTACCTCCAAGAAAAAAAACTCCAAAATGACGTTTCTAGGAACATCACAGTGAAAATTTAGAGCTACCATGTCAGAGAAAAAATACTGTAGACAACCAGGAAGAAAGAATTCAAGTCCCAAGGAACCATAGTCAGGGTCACACAGAGATTCAGTAGTTGTCACTATACAAGAGCAGAGAGCTAGGATTTGAAATTCTGAAAGGCAAGAGATAGAGGCTATAGTGAAAAATAACGTTTGCAATAAAAGAGAGTATAAATCTACAAGAGAAAAAAAAATGGACCTTTAATGTGACAGAAGATTTCCAAGCATTCCAGATGAAAAGACCTGAGAAAAACTTAAATTGGGTGGCAGAAGATGGATTTTTTTTGGAGCTAGGGGCAGATGATACGAGTATCTGCAATGTGATTTGTTATGCTCTGATGATCTTTTTTTTTTTTTAAGGCAATTGCAGTTAAGTGACTTGCCCGGATCACACAGCTAAGTCTTAAGTGTTTGGTCTGAGGACCATTTGAATTTGAACTCAGGTCCTCCTGACTTCAGGGTCAGTGCTCCATCCACTGTGCCACCTAGCTGCCCCTTGGCAGGGGGGAGACTTATGAAATCATATTGTTAGTGGGTACAAGTAGAAGTCTATACAAATGAGTATAGGGTACGGAGAGCAGGCATCACTTGAATTTCATTTTGAACTGATGAACAGCAAAGTGAGCAGAGCCAGGAAAATAATTTAAACTATAAAAACGACATTGCAAAAAAATCATTTTGAAAGACTTAAGGTCTCCGATCAATGCAATGATCAACCATGAATCTGAAAGACTGATGGAGAAAAACATGACAACCACACCTCCAGACTGAGAGGTAAATGGAACACAACGAAAGAGACACCACTTTTTTTAAAAGATGGTCAATGTGGGAGTCTGTTTTGCTTGACTATGCACCTCTGTTGCATAGGTTTTGTTTTTCTTTTCAGAAGCGGGTTGGAAGGAAGAAGGAAATCTATTGGATAATGGAGGAGAAAACAAAATTTAATTCTAATAAAGGGGAAAACATACATATATTATCTCACAGCCACCTTAGGATAAGTTTCATAGGTTTAGAGCTGAAAGAGACTATGGCAGGTAAAAGATGAAATGACTAAGGAAACAAAGGTTCATTCTTCTGAGCATATCGATTTATTAAGCATTGCATGCCAACTGCTCAACAAACTGGGATCGTTTGCCCTTCTGAGCATATCGATTTATTAAGCAGTGAATGCCAAGTGCCCAATAAACTGGGACCAACTGCCTCAGTTTAGGCCTGACCTCAAATACAGGGGAAGACAGGCTTTTATACATTAAAAACAATTAACCAAATGAGAATTAATTAAAAGGAAACAATACAACATTAGGTGATCTGATTTCCAATTGGAGGAAAGATTAAAGACTTGTGAGGAGGAGAGTGAACAGGTGCAATTCCTTGAAATCAGAAGAGGTGTCCTGCTTCCCCTCCCCAGAATGTCTGTAAATAACCAAAGGAATATGGAGACAATAACTGACTGATCAGTAAGGGGCCAGTTTTCAGATAAGACACACAGGTTGCTTGAAATGTACAACTATGAGAAAACTCCTTGCCTCAGTCTTTGGATCAGACTGGGTTTCTGGTTATCATAATCTAGGTCCTTGGTTAAGGGTTTCTAAGCAGCAGATTACCTAATGTTGTATTGTTTCCTTTTAATTAATTGGCCTTATTTGATTAATCGTTTTTAATGTGTAAAAAGTCTGAATCCCCCTGTATCTGGGGTCCAGGCCTAAGCTGAGGAAGGGGCCTAGTCCCAATGTGTTGGGCAATTGGCATGCATTGATTAATAAATCAATTTCCTTGGAAGATCAAAGCTTTGTTTCCTCAGTCATTTCATCTTCCACCTGCCACAGGCCCATGGAGGCTACCTCATCCAACCCACCCATATTACAGATGAGGAAACTGAGGCTCAGAAAGCTTATGTCACTTGCCCGAGATCAGGCAGGTAGTAAGTGGCAAACCTGGGATTTGTGCCAGGGTCTTTGACCCTCCAATCCAGTGCTCCCTCTGATGCACCCTGATGTGTCCTTAGGACACAAGGTGGGATAGAGAATGGACCTGTGATTTCACTGGGATAGGGAAATCCTACAGGTTAGGAGAAGTTAACTCGGAGTCTCCTAGAGCACTAAGAGGGAGGGTAAGTGACTTGCTTAAAGTCACCCAGAGAGAGATAAGAGGTAAGCCCAGGTCTTCCTGGCTGGCTTTGTCCATGATGCCACACTGCCTCACACTAAGAGGTGGGGGTTATTTTTGTTTCCCCCTTTTACCTTTTTATATACGATGAACATGAAGCTGAGAAGTCAAGTGACCTGTCCAACCTGCGAAGAACTGAATGGGGCACGATTTGAACCCAGATCTTTTTCACTCCAAGTCCAATCAATGTTCCATCTACCAAGCCACACTTCCTCTGAATCAAAGTGGCTCTCTCCTCCTGGGGTCCCTCCCTCTATCCCAGGCTCTACCCTCCTGGTCCTCTACATTTAAATCCTCAAGGTCAATCACTCAAGGCAGCATTTATTACGTGCCTAAACATGTGCCTGGCATTGTGATAGCCATCAGGAGTACAAACAGAAATATGAGATAGATATTCTTTGCCCTCGAGAGCTTAATTAAGTTCTATAAAGGGGGGATACATTTTCACAAATGAGGATACAGAAGACATTTACTAAATAAATACATTGACTTGGTAGGAGAGGAGACCCAAAAGTAGAGAAACAGGAAGAGTTTCTTGAAGAAAGTGGTATTTAAGCTGGGTCTTGAAAGGATTCAGTGGTTCCAAGTAGTAGAGGTGAGCAGGGAAAGTATTTTGGGCAGGACAGCAATGCAACTCCTTCCTCTCCCTTGTTTCCCCATATCTCCCCCTACCCAAATCCAAACATAGTCCCTATGCCATCTGTTTTGTGAGGAAAGATGTTCCACGCACGATTATCCCAATTTTAGAGGTAAGGAAATTGATTTGCAGAGACAAAGTGATTCCCCAAGGTCACAGTAAGTTTTATAGCTGGGATTCAAAATCATATCTTCTGACTCAAAGACCAGGGCTCCCTTTCCACTCTACCACAGCTGCCTCCCAAGAATGCAGGTGTCCCTCTCTTCCTAGTTCCCAATTCCTTCCCCTTGACCCCAAAGACAACAAGTTACAATTTTTCATGGAGAAAAGCATCAACAAATTAGTCAGTGGCTTAGAGTCTAATGGCATTTGCCTGTTTCTCGAATAGAGGGATAGGATGAAGAGAACTTATAAGATTTTAAAACTGGAAAGTGCTTAGAAGTAGCAAGTCAAAGTATTCCCATTTAACAGAAAAAAAAACAACTGAGGCTAGACAAAGGAAATGGACTTGTCCAAGGTTATAGAGCTGGCAAGGTCTAGAACCCAGAGCGCCTGAGACCTACCACCCAGGCTTCTGTCCGCCACTATGACACGCTAAGGTGTGTCTCACACCCTAATAAATACAGATTAAGCCCATCTCCTAGAACAGAACAGAACAGACTATAAAGAGGGGTGGCCACATACCCCACTCTCTCCCAGTTCTTCCTGTGGACAGAGTCATTTTTTATTCTTCATCCCTCCCCATCTCTTATCCTCACTGACCATGAATGACTTGAGCTAACCCTCATCCTCCTGGCTCTCTGAGTGTGTAACCCTGTTCACCAACTCTTATCATGCACTGTTCTGAATTATGGTTACCTATTTCTGTCTGGGCCCCCTACCAGACAGCAAGCTCCCTGAAGGCACTTCTGTCATATCAAGAGCTCCATCTGTAACCTGTATTTCCTACTCATCCCCTACCACTTGGCACACAGAAGGGTATGAAGGGTATGGAAGGAGGCTGGGGATAGATATGTTGCTCTGTCTTGGGGTGGGGGGCTCTCAGAAGGGAAAGGAACAGGAGGAGAGGGGGCCAGGCCAGGTGCAGTGTCTCACCTTTGGGGTCTACCTGGGCCAGGTAGGTGATGACAGAGCTCTTGGGGCCTGTGCTCTGGATGAGGTAGCCCGTCTGGATGGACACAGCTCGGACCAGGTCTTTTCGGGGTGGGTATTTCTAGGAAGGGAAGGATAGGCATGAGGTACAGGTGTGGCTGACACCTGAGGCAGGAAGAAGAAAGAGGTAGCAGAGGCCTCCCTGGCACTTAGAAGGCTGGAGGGGGAAGGCCCCCTAAACTGCCCTCCTACCCACACACAGCTTCCCACACTCCCTTCTCTGGGCTGCACTGGGGGCACTGCCCCCTTGACCTTGTTACACCTCTAGGGACGTCTGAGGCCCACCCTGGATCTTAACCTCTCTCCTATCCTCTGGCTCGGGCCTTTCCCCAGACCTCTCCCATCTCGAGGTTTCAAATAATTCAATAATCAATGCCATTGTTATAAAATTATCCCTTTCATCACCCTACTAAACTTGGAGCTTCTCCATGACTCTTTTCTTTTCTGTTGTTTTTTTTTTAACATATCTGTATCTTTATTTGAACAATGTTTTTCTGTGGTCATGACCCTCAGGTTTCAAACAATCACCTTGGAGGTCATCCACTCCAACCTCCTCAATTTAAAAAATGAGAAAACTGAAGCCTAGAGTAGGGCAGGGGCCTGCCCTGGGACACACAACAGGCAGATGGTCCACCCGGGGCTTGAACCTGGGTTTCTTGACTCCTGCTGCAGGATTCTAATCATGGAAAGAATTAAGCTTGCCATTTCTCTAGAGCTCTGCGATTCATTAAGGACTCTCCCTCACATAAGTTGGTTAAGTTGTGGGTTTTGATTCCTATTTAACAAATGAGGAAACTGAGGCCAGGCAAAGTGAAGTGAACTCTCCAGGTAGCATGTGTCAGAGCCAGAAGACCAGTGGCCAACCCTCAAGATGTGACCTCAGAGTCTGAAGGATCTGAGGGCAGAGAGACTCGAATGAGATTGCAGGCCATGACACAGGAGCGTGGCAGAAGACAATGGGCCACTGTAAAATGGGGGGGGGGGGCTGGAAGAAATGATCTTTATAGAGTCCCTTGCAGCTCTCAATACTATGATCCAGAAGGATTAGGTCTTGTGACATAATCATTCATATTTTCAGAGCGCTTTAACACTAACCAAAGTGGCATTTTCCTCCCTCCAAGGCGTATTGTTGTACCCATTTTACAGGTAAGGAAACTAAGGCTGGCACAGGTGACTTGCCCATGGTCACATCACTTGTTGATTGTAGGGCTGAAACTCAAACTCTAAGACTTGAGTTCTGTCCACTGTACTGCACTGCCACTCAACCTCCCCCAGGACACCCAGACCCCAGCCTTGCACACAGTTGGTATCTATAAGCATTTGGTGCCCTGGACTCACTTTGTACAGGGCTTCAGACTGTCCAAAGCACTTTCCTATCTATTCCCTTCACTGGATCTTCAGTCCAGGTGGAAGACAGGGGAAGAAATATCATCCCCATTTCAGAAATGGAAAAACTGGGCCTCCGAGAAAGGAAGGAATCTGCCCAAAATAACACATTAGGTTGGTCCCAAGCCAAGTCTAGAACCAGGGACCCTAAGACTCTTCTCCTAACAGTGGGTGCCTTCCAGCACACTCACTGGGTGCTTGACTGAGTAGTTCATGATGATGTAATCGGCTCCCATGGGCAGCCAGGATCGGAGGGTGATGACATCACGGTTCTTCAGGGGTTTCGGACACCTCCCTAAATGGGAGAAAAGGGCCATTAGACTGGAGGCCACGCGCCATAGCTCATCCCACATGCCCCTCCCTCCCACGGCTCCAGGCTCCCTCCCAGAGACCAGGACTCTGCCAAGAGTTACTGGGCCTAGTCCAGGAAGCTATCCAGCAGTGGTCCAAGGGTCCAGCCACCCCAGCTGCAGCCCCACCTCCCAGCAATCCTCTCCCTCCCCCAGGTGGCCTTCTCTGGCTACTAGTCCTCTGCCTTCCTCAACCCCAAGCATGGGGGAACCACACACAGGAACACTGGCTTCTGTTCTTTCTCTAATTATTTCCTGGCGAGCATAATGACTTCCCCTACATGAGCTGGGAGCTCCCCTGTGACAGGGGAGATTTCTCCTCCTCCTCCTCCTCCTCCTCCTGTCAGGCACACAGTGCCTGACACCATCCCAAGCGGGCTGGGTGAGAAAGGGGAAATGCTAGGAAAAGAGGGAGAAGTGAGATGGGGGAAGGGAAGAAGGGAGGGTGACAGGATCATGGTCTTCCCATCCGTGCAGGGCTAACCCGGAGCAGAGAAGATAAGACCTGCTCTGCCTGGTCCCAGAGGACAAAACTAAGACCAGTGGGAGGGAAGTTATAGAGAGAAAGATTTCGGACCAACACAAGGAGGGATTCTTACCTCTCTGATCCAACACACTGATGAGATTAAACAAAGAGGAAGTGGTGGCTAGGCACTAGAAACTAAGGGGGTGCCCACCAATTGGGGGATGGCTATACCAACTATGGTACAGGAGCGTAACAGAATCTTACTGTGCTGTAAGGAACGGTGAAAGCGACGTTCTCAGAGAAACCTGAAAAGACTTGTACGAACTGACGCAGGGTGAAGGGAGCAGAACCAGGAGAACAACTGATACAGTACAAATTTGGTATAAACAAACAACTTTGGATGACTTAAGAACTCTGATCAACAAAATGATCAACCGAGATTCCGAAAGGCAGGTGACTAAATATACAGAATGAGATACACTGTTGGTCATGACCAGTTTGGCGATTTGGTTCTTGGGGGGTTTTTTGTCTGTTTGTTTGTTTTGCTTTTTGGTGAGGCAATAGGGGTTAAGTGACTTGCCCAGGGTCACACAGCTAGTAATGTCAAGTGTCTGAGACTGGATTTGAACTCAGGTCCTCCTAACTCCAAGGCCAGAGTTCTATCCGCTGTGCCACCCAGCTGCCCCAGGATTTGTTTTGCTTGACTATGCATATACATTCTAAGTGTTTGTTGTCGGCAGGGGGTGATGCAGAAGGAGCAGGTAGGGAGGTAGAAGGTTGAGAGGAGTAGAAAAATAAACGCTTAATAATTTTAAAATAATTAAAAATTTTTAAAGTCTATTGGGACTCTCCTACAGTGAAGAAGGGAGCTGTCTTGGGGAGGGAGGGAGGTAGCAGCCGTCACTGAGGCCCTTGGCATTAGAAAGGCAGCAGAGGATTCCTGGATAGGAAAGGACATTAGACCACACAACCTCTCAAATTCCTTTCGGCTCTGAATGTCTGAGATTCTAATCTTCATGAGGCACCCTGACAGAGGACAGAGTGTTAGAACTGGGAGGAAGACTTGACTTCAAACCCTATCTCTGACGCTTTCTATTTAGGTGACCCTGGGCTTAAATTCTCTGAGTCTGTTTCTTCATCTGTAAAATGGGGATGTCTCTAGACATATCTCACCATCTTTCTGGGAGGCTCAAATGAGATAATGCATAGAGAAGTGCTTCATAAACATTAAAGCGCTTTATTCTCATGCTAAAATTTCATGATTCCAAGATGCCATGAATTCAAAGTCTTAGAGCCTAGAATTCTAACACATTTATGGTTCCAAGATTCCATAATCTCAAATTCTATGATTCTGTGCATCTGTTATTCTTCTATAAGGGCACAGAAAAGGAAATGGGGGTTCAGGAAAGAGTGATAGGTGAGAAGGGAAGAGGCTGGAGAGGGAGAATAAGTCCGTAAGTGCTCACAGGAGTAGTAGCCCACGTCGGCGTTCACAGTCAGGCGGGCGATGTCAAAGGTCTCGATCACATTACTGTCCCACTTCTTACGGTACTCGATGTCATGCAGCACATCATAGAGCGTCTCAGCCGGCACATCTCGGCACTCCATCCGACACTGCAGGTGGACAGACAGGTGGACAAAGGTCAGTGCCCAGGTTGGAGGAGCCCCAGGAGGCCAGATGTAGAGAGGAGGGTCTGGGCCAGTCCAGTGGAGGATGGTCCACAGAAACCACACCCAACAAGGGACCCTGGACAGGCAGCCAAGTACAGCACCAAGCACCCTGGGGAGCTGCATTGTAGACCAAAGACTCATCATCAAAATAATTCTAGAAATGACCAACACTTTGTAACAAGGATAACGAAGCGACCATAAACCTCTATGGCCCACATATGTCAACAGAGCCAAGATCTCCTCCGCCTCACATAAGACCTATCTCTAGCAATGTGGAGCGTGATCCCTCTATCGGCAGTTAGGTGGTACGCTGGATAGAGTGCTAAACCTGTAGTCAAGAAGATCTCAGTTCAAATCTAGCCTCGAGCACGTGGGACCCGGGCAAGTCACTTAAGTTCTGTTGACTTTAGTTTCCCCACACGTAAAATGAGGATAATAGCACCAAGCTCCCAGGGTTGTCTTGAGGACAAAACGAGATCATTATTTGTAAAGGAGGTGGAAAGCTTTACAATGCTATGTAAATGCTAGCTATTATTATGTTATTATCATCACTATTACGGTAAAAAATCATCCCAGGGTCGCTCGTCTTTGAGTGAAGAGCCAAAAAGAATGATGGAGTTGCAGTGATGAGTTGTTGTTCAGTTGTTTTCCAGTCATGTCTGACTTTTCGTGACCCCATTTGGAGTTTTGTTGGCAAAGATACCAGAGTGGTTTGCTCATTCTGTAGCTCATTCTGCAGATGAGGAAACTGAGGCAAACAGAGTGAAGTGACTTGCCCAAGTTACTTGCCCAGCTAGTAAGTGTCTGAGGCCAGATTTGAACTCATCAAGATGAGTCTTCCCGACTCCAGGCCTGGCGCTCTATCCACTGCACCACCGAGCTGCCCCTCCTGGTATTACCATACACTAGTTCGGGCCTTCATCACCTCACGCTTGGCCCATTGCAATAGTCTTCTGTGGTTGGTTTCCAAGCTTCCAGTCTACCCCTCTTCAGTCATCCTCTACCTAATAAATGCTTGTTTTTTTTTCCTTCCTTCATCTCAGCTGCCAAAGTGATCTTCCTAAAGCATAGGTATAACCACATTAAACACCTATTTAGTGGCTACCTATCACCTCCAGGATAAAAAAACAAAATCCACTGTTTGGCTTTTAAAGATCTTCACAAACTGCCTGGGTTCCAATTTTGCCTCACACATGTACTAACTGTGTGACCCTGGGGCAAGTCTCTTTTTATGCTTTTAAGATGCTATGATTCTGTGAGCCTACAATTCAACAGCAGAGCAGGAAAGAAAGAACAGGGCTGAGCCTGTCTTCTCAACTGTAAGATGAGGATAACATTACATTAGCACCTCCCTCTCATAAGATTGCGAGGAAAGTAATCTCAGCTATGAGACTGGTCTTTGGACAACAGATACAAATTTCCACCGGGACCATTCAGGAAGGCTTGGTACCTCAGCTGGACCCATGAGACCGACCTTGGACTGCACTGGTGGAGCCTTCAAAAGCCTCAGCCCTGCTCCATACCATGAGGAGACATCAGAGGATGGCTCAAGCTCTGGTCTAGCTCTTCTAAAATGGGCCTGAAGTAGATGGCCAAACAAACTGTAGTATGTGAATGCAATAGAATCTGACTACATTGTTTAAGAAACAATGAACATGAGGGATTCAGAGAAGTCTGAGAAGACACGTATGAACTGATGTAGAGTTAAGTGGTACCAGGAAAATCATATACACAAGAGCTACATTAATGTAAACAAAAAGAATCCTAGAACAAAGCCAAATACAGTGTCTGCCTGGAATAGGCAATGTCAGCCTAGGGAAGAGATGATTAAAATACATCTCCCTCTTTTATGCAGCACAGGATTGGGCGTGTGGGATGCTACCCACATCCAATGAGGTCACTGGGCCAGGCTGGTTTGGCTTAACTGGTTTTTTTTGGTGACAAGGCTCAGCAACCTGGGGCATGGCAGGGTGGTTGGTATGGCCTGTTCAGACAGATATGACTGTGCTCTCAAGCCAGAAGCCCCATTTCCAACCAGCTCCACAGCTTGGGACTTCTCTGCAAGTCTCCATTATGCCTTCCTTCCCCAGGAAATCCATCCTTAGGAAATCTCATTATCTGCCAGATTGAATCTGCCTGGCCTTCTCATCAATGCCCTCTACCATTCTGATTGGTTCCTCTGACTGGAGGGCAGAGCCAGGGGTGCCAGAGCTTCTCTTTGAGGAAGGGGATCACCACAATCTCCTCCCCATTTCCCACCAGCCACTCTGCTTCTGGAGATGTTTGGACTTCATGCCTCCAACCCTTTTCAGCTTCCTTTTGTGGGCTGTCTTCCCCTCATTAGATTGTCAGCTTTTTAACTTATATTTGCATCCCCAGTACTTTGCACAGTGCCTGACACATAACAGGCACTTGATAAAAGTTTGTTAACTGACTGATAAGGCAGCAATAAAACATTTGTCTTAAAAGAAAAAAAGGTTCATGATTGCATATACTATCAGATCCTGTTAATGTGTTGGCTAGTTCTGCTAAACTGTTTTTTTCCCCTCCCTTCTTTTTTATTTTTATAAGAGATAGCTCACTGGCTAGGAGAAGGAGAAGGGATATGTAGGTGTGGGGAGTGTGGGTCCGCATGTACACGTGTACACACACACACACACATCATAAAATTTTGAAAAACAGTAACGTTGTATGGCAAACCTAATAAATAAATACAATGAAAAAATAAAACAGACATGAGTGAGCCTCATGCACAGATCCCAAAGTGGATCCCGGTGTACCACAGAACGAACGAACAAACAAACACAAACACACACACACACACCACAAAAGCACAACTTGCTGCTAGCATACACTGGACATCTCTAAAATGAATGTGCTGCTAGGATAAACACTAACCAGACATTTAATTGAGCATCATTTCTCTGCCGCCTCGGAGTTTTTAGGAGGGCCTTTTGGGATAACTTAGATGGCTTACTTCTTTAAAACACACACAAACACACACACACACACACACACTCTCAAGCTGTTCAAAAAGGTCTGCATCTCTGGATAAATTTCCCTGCAGCAAAGCAGCAGCGGGGATTGAGCTGCTGAATCATTAAGCTGTACCCAATGCTGGGTTAGGGTTTTGGCTGGAATTCCCCTCCCCCCCCGAAGATAGCTACTGCAGAATGGAAGAAGTGTTAACAGCAAGACTAAGTGTACTCACATTCGTACACTGCTCCATGATTTACCAAATTACTCTGCCTTAACCTCAGATTCCCCACAACAGGACTGCAGAAGAGAGAGTGCAGAGATGATTAGCCTTGTTTGATAGATGGGCAAAGTGAGGTTCAGAGAAATCAGTGCCATGCCCAGGGTCACCTGGCTAGTGAGGTGGAAATGTCAGGGGGAGAACCACAGAATTTCAGAAGAGGAAGACTTTAAGAGGACTGGACATTCCAAACCCTCTAATTGTTACAGGATGTAGGATCTGGAGCTGGAAAAGATTTTTAGAGATTACCTAATCCTAGAGTTTAATCTTAATTTGGGCTCCATGAACTTTTAAAAAAAAATTTTGAAAACTGCATTTCACAGTAACTGGCTTCCTTTGTACTCCCACGTATTTTATGACTTTAAAGAAAAAAGATTTTTTTGATACTAGATCTCCCTTCTTAGAAGTCTGACCACTCATGGGCCGGCCTACAACTGCCAGCCACAGCAGCTTTGACTTGCTGGGCAAGCAAATTTACCCTCCTCAGGCAGCCTGGCAGTGTTCTCCACCTCCCCTCCTTTAAACTTTGTTCCGACAACCCTATGGGCCTACCCTATTGCCCTGCAGAGCTCCCAGGATCATAGGACCCACTGGCCTCAGCCTTCACAGCAGAGGGATCACAGGCCCGCACCCCAGCTCCCAACTCAAAAGCCTCATTCTGAGAAAGGGGCCTCGGGCTTCACCAGACCGAATGCCCAAGGGCCCCAGGACACAGGACAAGAAAACCCCTTCCGCCTCCATTCTAGTCCAAATCCTTATTTTGCAGGGTATGGTAGAAAATCCTGGAAGTCTCAGTACTTGGGTTAGAATCTTGGCTATGCCACCATTTACTGCTTTGTGTACCTTTGATTAAGTCACTTACCTCTCTGAGTTTCAGTTCACTCAACTGTAAAGATATGTATACAAATGGGGGGGGTGTTGGACTGGGGAGTGGCTGACACTTGAATCTCAACACACATACACACACACACACACACACACACACACACACACACACACACGATGGGTACAGAAATACATTTCACTCAACAGGGAAATAGGAAGGGAAGGGGAGAAGGGAGGAGGGGGTATGAGAGTGAAGAAAGATTAAGGGAGGGATTAGTCCTACCAGAGGTGGCGAACTTATAGCCTCGAAACCACATGTGGCTTTCTAGGTCCTTGGGTGCAGCCTTTTGACCGAGTCTGAGTTTTACAGAACAAATCCTTTATTAAGGGGATCTGTTCTTTGAAGTTTGGATTCAGTCAAAGAGCTGTACTTGAGGACCTAGAGGGGCCACATGTGGCCTCGAGGCCACAGGTTCCCCACCCGTCTATGTAATACAAACTCTAAGGATGGACAAAAATATTTATACACCTCTTTTTGAGGTGTCAAAGAATGGGAATCTGAGAAGGTACTTTTCAATTAGGGAATGGATAGACAAATTATGGTATATAAATGGGATGGAAAACTATTGTACTATAAGAAATAATGAAGAGGGGGCAGCTAGGTGGCGCAGTGGATAGAGCACCGGCCCTGAAGTCAGGAGTACCTGAGTTCAAATCCGGCCTCAGACCAAACATTTGACACTTACTAGCTGTGTGACCCTGGGCAAGTCACTTAACCCCAATTGCTTAAAAAAAAGAGAAAGAAATAATGAAGAGGATAGTTTCAGGGAAACCTGGGAAGACTTATATGAATTGATTCAGA